GGAACGTTTAAATGTGGATTGATACCTACAACCAAGGAGACGCATCTAAGTTGGCTGTCATCTCTGTGAGATGGTACGTATGAGAATGTCTTTCACAGTAATTTTGCAGGTACAAAGGATAACGCAAAGAACACCCTTCCCAAGCATGAGGGATGTTTACCATCCCAAGGCACGTAACTTCAGGAAACTCTTCTGACAACAACTAATTTTAAGTGAAAGGTCTGTTGCCCTGATCCCACTGTTATTCTGAATGTAAAGAACAGCAGAGAGAGCCCATTGCAGCTCTAAGAACATAAAAATCACAAGTCTGAATTTGAGCAAAGCGAGGACTTGCCTGCTTCATCGATTCAAAAAATACCAGCTACAGAGCACAAAACCCCAACCACCCACCTCAGAAAATGAATACAACTCGCCGAAACATGATGTGTACTAGCACTAAAAATCTCACTTACACTTTTCAGAGGCTGGATTTAGCACTAGGCACAGTGAGATGACACAGGCCTGATGTGCACCTGACTGAAAGCAGGCAGGAGTACAGCATTCAGCTTCCACTGGGAAGCAGCAGGGCGTAAAAAGGTACCAAAACATACCTCAGATAAGACGGGAAGCATTTCAGCCTAAAATGGCAAGATTTGTGCTGGTTAATACTGTATGTGAAAACAAAAAAGTTAGCTGAGGTTATAACCGTGCTTTAAGACCCTTCCCCACAAATCCTTCCCCCTCCAAGCAAAATGGTGAGTTTGCAGATGGGAACCCTGCACTTCCCGCCTCTTTTTGCACGCTTACTCTGCAGGAGCGTGCCCACAAACAATGCGGAATCCTCCTCAGTGGCATTCTTTCATTGCAAAATACAGTGATCAGGTCACTTCTAGCTCACTACATCTTATGCTCCGCATTTGCATCCTCTTATTCCTATCTACCCAAAAGGACACTCCTACCTTGCAATACAGCTGGGCAAAATTTTCACTTCTGCTTCCTATTTAACTAGATTCTTAAACTTGCAGACAATAAGGTGAGAGCAGTAAAGGCTAGGGATATTTTTATAGGGCCATTCTCAACTACAGCATCCCCAGGGAGATTTGTTTCCCTACGTGCTTTCCACGTGACATGTATATGAGTGTGATTTGTAAACTCTGAAGTTCACAGGAGGGGCTCATCCAAAGCAGCACTCAGAGGAAAGTACAGTTTGGAGGACAGTCCATCTTGCTCCAAAAGACGATCTCCTCTGGCAATAGTTCAGTAGCTCATGTCAGATACTGCACGACGAGAAACATAATTACACAAGTCAAAATCATTCCCCCAATCATGAAGTATTTATCTTGAAAGGCTCGCTTCTCGATCAGCCGCATTACTGTATTGGATAAGCCCAACATGTTGGCAACATCCAGGATCTTCTTGTGAGTACCCTAAGAATAAAGAGACAGCAAAGAATCAATTAACCCCATGGTCCAACACTTCTTATTCCAACACATGGGTGGCAACTGATGAATTCTGATTGATGGAACTTGCTATCAGCCAACAGTTCCTACAATTTAAGAGGAGATGGCCACAGGACCCTGGAAATAGCTGGATAATGAGACTAATTAATTCACACACATGAACAGGAATGTGGTTAAAAATACAAAACAGTCTGTCCAAACAGAGACAACATAAAGAGTGGCCCAGAGAAAATGCACTCCCTATGATGGCATTAAGAGTTCTTCTGGTCCTTTTTCAGACACACAGTCTAATAAGAGCTTGAAGCTTCTTGATCAGACAACCTTTCTTGCAGAACTTCCCTACTGCTGAAGTACAGTTCATACCAACAAGAGATTGAGAAGGAGGTCCAGAAACTTCTAAGGCTAACGGTTGAGTGCAATGAAAAGGCATAAAAAAGTGTCATTAATGCAATTTCAAGAAAACCTTCTGGAGAAAAGCACTGAATCACAGAATGGTTTGGGTTGGAAGGGACCTCTAAAGGTCATCTAGTCCAACCCCCCTGCCATGGGCAGGGACATCTTCAACTAGATCAGGTTGCTCAGAGCCCCGTCCAACCTGGCCTTGAATGTTTCCAGGGATGGGGCATCCACCACCTCTCTGGGCAACCTGGGCCAGTAATTCACCACCCTCAGCGTAAAAAATTTTTTCCTTATATCTAGTCTGAATCTGCCCTCTTTTAGTTTAAAGCCATTCCCCCTTGTCCTGTCACAACAGGCCCTGCTAAAAAGTCTGTTCCCCACTGCACAAAGACTGCTGGCAGGTGTACTGCAGGCAGGCCCACACCCCAGTTTTGTTTCACCACTGAAGCAATTGGTATTATTAAGAATGTGGATCCCACCAGTTACCACGTCAGCAGTAAGCACCTAACAGATAAACACAGTGAGCTGCAGAACTGGAGGTACCAGGAAATGAGCTGGGGGAGTCATTTTCTACAATGAGCTGGGGGCGGCACGACTGCAGTGCAGCAGGAAGACTCCTACTTTACTTCAGGGCAATGGTCAAAGGAAACTGTGAAATACAGGCGTGTAGATGTACTCTGGGCACAGTTCAGAGCTGGACGTCATCCCCTCTGGGAAGAAGGGAAAGAACTTATGGCTGCAGAGTCACGATGGTGCAAGTAGGTGAGGAGCACCTTTCTAGATAAGCTAGACAAATGGGTAGCATACCGATGGGCAGGCAGAGATGCTGCACTGAGCACTGCAGCTCAGCTCACAGCACGCAGTCAGAGAGACACTGGCCAGGACCAACCTCCATCGCACCTCCGTGTGCACAAAGATGGGTACTGCTAGAGAGTGGCCTTGTCACATCATGGTGATGATAATGGACCTAGTCTCTCAAACTGCTGGGTCCAAGTCCTTAACAGAACACCCTGCTTCAGAAAGCTGTTAAGACTTAAGTTATTTCTTCTCTGAGCAAGGTCAATAGCACAGATTCCCATGACAATGCTCTACTACCATGCTTTAAAATAAAAACTCTCTGGTTTCTATTCTTGCAGTCCACTGTATCTTTGGTCTCAAAAGAATAAAAAGGTGAAATTCGGGAATTGTTTTGAATATCAACCTGAATTAACATCAGAAAAGCTCTCTGAGGACAGAATTTATATCAACTATATTAGACATACATGCACAAACAGTTTCTCAATCCATAAAATGTACAGATTTGCAATACCAAATTAGATGATCAGTTTCTTCTGTAAAGGCTGTGTAGGTATTCAGGCCCTTCGCTGAAATCAGGTTATGGCTCTGCTCATAAAACATAATCACATTTTTCACCTTTATTTCATACACCTCACATTAAACCCCTGGATACTACGCTTTCAAGTTCAGCACTTTTCCTGACTCTGGAGCAATCTTTTCACACTACTTCAGAACAAAAGAAAACCTTGCTTGGAGAAGGGAAACCAAAAATGAAGCTTTAAAATGAAAGCAAACAATAGGAAAACAATACTTGGTTCATACCTGTCTATTTATATCCAGCACCCAAGAAGTTACATAAATTAACATGCTTCCATATTCACCCATTTATCTTGATAAGCTGTCTGTACACTAGCTGCTTCTGCCAGATTTGTAAACGTGCAACAAAGTCTTTGATAATGTAAGAAAAGCTAAGCTAAGGAGAAAAGGAATATGGACAGATGTTTCCTCATCTGTGAGTGAGAAGAAATATCCCCCTGAAAACATACGAACATGATGCTCCCAAAATTGCAGACTGTCAGTAGCAGTGGGCAGAGACAGACTAACAGCTTTACTATTACAGTTCTGACCCGAAGTATCCTTGACTTGCCACAAGTTGGCAGCTGAGGCAAGGCTGCATTTGCAGAAGGCCCATCGTGATCTAATAGGAATCCAGGCACATTACTGCAATCTAACTAGCAAAAGAAACAAGACAGGACTATCGACTACAACAAGAAATAGTATTTCCTCTCAATCTCTTTGAGGCAGCAGGTCCTGCAGGTGTTGCTTTATCATATTTGCCAACTGTGGTTAAGTTCTCAAGACTTGTGATGTATGCATTTCCTTCTCAGGAACCCTCCAGGAACCAAGTGCTTCAGTCACTCATCAGAGATTACCTTGAATCAGTGACTTACCATCTTGTAGAATCAACAGCTGGATTCCCTGTGTGAAGCACAGGTACGCTCATGCACTTCAATGACTGGATGCCCCGAGCCAATGTGATCAGCCACCAAAGCTATCCAGTGCTAAAGGCAGAGGACAAATGTCCTCTGCCATCATACCCCCCAGTGGTCCTGTCCAGTGCTTTGGGAATACCAGCTAGCCTGGACCTCTGTGACCAGGATAGGAAGTACCCGGCTTGTGAATAATCACCGACATTAGGATTAAAAAAAGCACCTAGCAATTCTGCCCTGTGAAGACACCCAGCTCTGGTAACTCCTAGGAAATGGGTGCCGTAGGTACTAGAAGTTGCTCCAGCAAAACGCCTGTGCACTTTAAGGGCGAGACCCATACGTGTGTACAGTTCGGCTATCTGTACGTAAGCTGGCTAGACTGCCTTTACAGCCAGTGAAACCCTAGTCTATACAATCAACGGAGCTTGAGGTGTGATTCATCTGACCAAATGTAGGGATTTATGTTAGCAATCAAAAATGCCTAAATCCTCTGGCAGATACACCCCAAAACAAAGCAACATCACAAAACAGACAACAATAGTTATCCTCATCAGAAGATGAATACAACAGAGTTAGGAATTTCCCCACATTTCTCAGAAATCCAGCTTTCCCCCAACACAAACTTCTTGTTAAAAAGCTTTCTGTATCTTTGAGCTATTTGCTCAAAATTTAACACCACTTTGAACAGTCTTTAAAATAAAAGACAAATTTTGTTCTTAAGAGACATGAAGAAATACAGCTGTCATTAACAGTATTCAGGGAAAGATAGTATTGTTGAGGTGCATTAGACCTGGGAGAGTATTATCTTTATTACCAATCTTAAACACAAGTACTTTATGCCAGCTTTGTGGTTGCTCTGAGTGATGTTCATCTGAATCAACACCTATCTAGAGCTAGCCATTACTTCCTATTCTTCATTTGAACAAAAAAAACCCAAACAAACAAACAAAAAAAACAGAACAGAACAAAACATAACATTCAGCACTCCAGATACTAACTACCGTGCAGGTGAAGACTGCTAGGCTGTCCAGCCACAAAAAGAGCTTAAAGATGTTCCTAGGAAGATGATAAAATGTAGATTTCAGGTTTAGTTAAAATGGACTTTGGGGCTTTCCCAGCATTCTCAGCTGGAAGCAGTGTACTGAAACAAACTCATGTATTTATTTTACTTAGCCTGGTCATGACAAATGCAGAAAAACGTGGGGTCTTTTTGGTAAAAAATGATGCCCCCACCTTTAATGTCACTCTCTGGTCCCTCAGCCCCTGAAGGATGTTGGTCCCACTGCCAATAAGATCATCCATGCCACGATGGGCATTCTGGAGGGATTCATTAAACTGTAATGTTTCGTCGATCGGTATGGTGGTGTCAGAGTCCTGTAGGGGAAATGCAGGGTCTTGGTTACCTTGCCTGCTCACTCATACTGCCCATACATAGTTAGATCCAGAAAAAGAACATGCAGAAACAAATGTGGCAAAAACTTTACAGGACTTGAAGGATTATGTTTTAAACATTTTTTTTTCATAAGGATATTAAATACAACATTAATATTTGAGTGAAAAAAGTAATTTAGAGAAGCCTACAGGAAGCAAGCCAAAAGGCAAAGTTGATCAGCTGTTCAACTGCAATTAGATCTCGAAGGATAAAAAGTCAGATTAAAAGTGGAGAATTTTTTATAATCTCAGTTTATGATATATGTAGGAAATGGTATTACAAGAGAGAACGTCAAAACTAACAGAAGGCGTTTAACAAGGAGTCATTTGATCATTGCAAGTGAAAGACTTTTGGAAGATTTCATATCACATTTCTAAGCGACAAAAGGCCTGCAAACACAATGTCCGGGAGGTGACATTCTATAAACCCCTGTTTACAGCAAGGTGCAAATTTCTGATAGTGAGGTCAAACAGACATGAACCTAGTTCACTGAAGGTCTGACTCACTCGCCACCCAGGCCTCATTATTAAAAATTAACATTTTTCCAGAAAAGATGCATTAGCTCAACTAGAAACTATGACTCTTGAAGTGGAAATATCTGGATAAAATTCTGTAACCTGGTTTGTACAAGAGGTCAGAGGATGCAATCACTTTTGTCTTTCAAAGGCTTCCAGTTTAATCTTCTCTGGACACCATTCCACTGAGAGAGTCAAGATAATAGCTCATCACTCTCACATTGTTTTACGAACAGGAATCATGATATAGGTAAGAGGTAAGCGTGGAAACACTGGCTTACCTGCTTCCATGTACTCAGAATGGCAAGAACTACTAAAATGCAGCATTCGTATTTAGGGCAGAAGACGGTTAATACCCTACTGTCAGCTGTAGGTTACAGGCATGTAACAATACCAAACTTGCTCTGAGTAGACTCTGGTGACTATTGTAAAAAAAAAAGTTAATATGGGAATGACATATACGATCCAGTGTCGGGTGTTGTACTGCCTAGGTGGGTGTTCTGCTTCGTGCAAAAGAACGAAGAATAAAGGACAGAGCTGTTAGCAGCTGCAGGGTCAAAGTTACTGGATGAAGAAGCCGCGACAGCATACACATCTCTGATCAAATGTTAATGAAGCACTAAGGTTGAAACAAGTGTCTTGTCTTACATGAGTCTGCAGAGCAGAAGCACTTGGATTTGCATCTGAATGGCTATTATTTCAGATATTTATTAAAACTTCAAATCAGCAGGGATTCTATTTCCTATATGAGGAGCTTGCAGGGTATTTTTTATACACCACAAGGCAGCAAGAAAAATATTGAAGTAGATTTTTGACCCTCCTCACAGGAAGACTAGATGGCATCGTATTTTTCATTTGCTGTTAGTGGTTTTCTCCAGAATGGTACAAGGGAAGGCTTTAAAGATGAAGACCACATTTATCTTTGAATTAAGTAAAACGCTCAGAACTGCCGCAGCTTTCAAAAGCTGTTATGTAGGTAACAGGGATTTATTCAGGATGCTTACATGCTCAGCTGACATTTCTATTTAATAGAATATGGTAGTACATAAATAGAAACTGTGTAAACAGGCCATTAACTGACAAATAAATCATTTTCCTATAAAGAGATATTGTACTTTAAAAGTCACATTTTTGTAACGCGTTAAAAGAAATACAAAATAATTAGAAAAAAAAATTTCATCTTGACACACCTTTCAGCATCTAAAGGAGGAAAAAATAACCGGCCATTTATTTTGCATTTGCAAGCCTGCTACTGCTCTTCAAAACTGTTCCACTTCCACATGTGTTTTATTTCTGGACAACAAGTTTTCCTACAGGAAAATTTCTCCATATTTGCAGAGGAACACCACAGTGTTTTCAAAAGAAATCAGGTTTCAAGTGTCAGTGTTCCTTTCAAGTCATGTTTAAAAATTTTGAAATAGCCAACAAAATGCTAGATGCCATCTTTATGTCAGGCTTTGAGAAGTGCATTGGACTTCCCAAATCTCAAGAAAATAGGACCACTCACATTCATTCTTTCTTGCCCTAACAGCGAATGACAACACAGAAGATGAATGGTAGGTTATATGCCTTTAAAAAATTCTAAAAAACCAAAACAAACATACAAAGAAACAAACAGACTAGCTTTTGACTTACAGAAAAGTGAAATTTGAAAGCAAACCTACACTATTCAGAGCAAAATTCCTCTAGGGATTTGCACTGGGGGGACTTCCCAGTGGAGGAACTAAAAATTAACAAGAAGAGGTGGAAACACATTCTTGTCATTAAAAACTTTTGAATCATTTACAGGTAAAAAGCAAGGGTTTTTTCCCCAGCTGTGTGATTTCTATTTGGACAAATTAAAGCTTGCTGACACCTACTGAGAGCAGGGTGTATAAAAGCCAGACATTCTACAAATCTCAGGATTTGACAAGGACATTTGACACAAATCCAAGTAAAATGTATACTTTGGTACCTACCTCATTCACCCTTTTGAAACTGCTATATAAAGTCAGGTAGGACTGCACTGGATAAAATAGAAGCAGCAGTTTCTGGAGTCTTTTACTGCTGCCTCTTAATAGACCGACTTTTCCTGATGAGAGAGTTGTACTTTTTCAACACGTATTGTTATTCTTTTCTATCTTTATTCCG